CCCCCCCCCCTGAAACCCTTCCCCCCAGACTATGGGCTCATATAATACTCGAAAGCTGACTTCAGCTATATTTCTTTCCCTTTTCTTTTCTTTTTTCTAATACCCTTACATTTATTGAATTTTTCTTGTCAAAAGTTTCTAGGATGAATGCCAATCAGTGAACACACTGACCTTTTTTTCAGTGGTGAAAGTGGCAGTGGGAAATCCTCCACAATCTGTGGTCTGCTTCAGCAGATGTACGATGTGCTGGGAGGGGGAATAGCAACAGATGCCTACAAACAGCTCAGTGCTACCATCACTGTGTTACGCTCATTGGGATGTGCAGCAACCAGCATGAACCAAGATTCCACGAGAATAGTGAGCATGTTTTTCATGGAAATGTATGACACAGAATTAACCCTAATTAGCTATAGATTTCATGATCATTGAACATTTTGAGCAACTCTATACGATCCATAAAAATATATACAACTCCGATATTCCCCAAGTGTACCCGTGCATACATGTTTTAATTGATTCTTCTCACTTCATGTGACCATGAATGATTATTTAGATTTTTTCTATGAAATCAACTTCAAATGTGTCAAAACTTGAGCATATAAGCCTGCTAGCTTTGTCGTGTATAAAATTGCAGTTACTTTTTGCTGCAGATAATCATATGGCTTTATTCATTTGTTTCAAGTCTAAATATTTTTCTTTTATTGTTTAACATAAAAAAAATTTTTTTAGCTGTTTAACATATATTATTTCTAGGGTTACTATTTTGAGAGCCAGGTTGCAGATGGATTGCTTTACAGAACCAAAGTCCACTGTTACTTCCTAGATCAGGTGGGTGGAAAAGTATGAAATGGTGAAAATAAATATTCATTGGACAATTTTAATGTGAATAAGCTCTAAAAATTTTATTTTTATACATATTAAAATGGCCATTATTACAATTTGCATTTCAAAAATAGTGTTCTTATACTTATAACTGAAAAAGGTAGAGTCACCATTCAGATAAAACAGCATGCCTCATTTGTGGTAATACATACATATGTATATGTATATGTAGCAGCTCTTTTTCCATTCATTGTATAGGGTAGAGCAGTTGGTGCTGGTTCCAGAGGTAAAAACTATCATATATTCTACCAGTTGCTTGCTGGCCTGAGCAAAGAGGAAAGAAGTGAGTACCAATTTTTTATGTTGGAATTTAGACATATTCATCTAGACATTTTTGTTCTTTATGTTATTTATAAACTGTAAGTGCCTGCCACTGAAAGTACTGAAAAGTGGATTGTAAAAAAAAATGTCAAAAATATCAGCTCTACCTAATTTTTTCTTCAACAGAGTCCATTTTAATTTACAACTATGATATTCCTTATTTTTATCCTACTAACAGTGGATGCAGCTTCTGTGATACAGCAAATGTTAGAAAAATCTATATTTCTTAACTATAAACTACGATATTGGAACCTCCAGAATCATTATTATGCTGATTTAAATTAAAAAGCTTGCAGCACATAAAATGAAAAATAAGTACCCTTAAATTTGTTCAATTTTTTTTCATCTAAAGAACTTTTATGATTAATTTTGATGTTTGAAATGGTTTCATTTTGTAGACAAGTTTCATCTAGACACTCACACTATCCAGTCTCTGAATTATCTGAAAGATGGCTGTCACTCGTGTGATGAAAAGATGGACAAGGAGAGATATAATGCATGGAAGGTTAGTTTATTTACTGAGACAAATGTGAAGTAGTGACTTAGAGACCTATTTATTAAAGCCACAGGTAGTCTAGACCCTAGATAACTTATGCAAATGTGTTTGTTTATTATAAAAATAATGGCATGAATGTTGTGAGATTCACCAATTAAAAAGCAGTTAAATAAAAATCTGGTTGTAATGTTTTAGGGTTTAATCGTTATACGATTTATAACACTAAATTATTGGTGTTAAATGGCTCTTTATCACTATTAATAAAATCTGTGGATCTCTTAATTTGCAGCATGCATGACATACATACAAACAAAAGGTAAAACTTTATAAATGGTACTTTTAGCAACCTTTAATCATGTATATATCATGAAATAATATAACTACATGAATATTTTTTCAGGCTTCTTTGGCAGAACTGGGAATCCCTTTTTCTGATTTAATTCGTATCTTGGCTGCAGTTTTATTGTTAGGAAATGTTCAGTTTGAACAAGATGGATTTGGACAGCTACAAGTCACAACCCATCAAGGTATGTATGTCTTTTTTTTTTTTTTTTTGTCTCTGAAGAAAAACCTCAGATATTGAAGGACCTCTCAATTTTATTAGATACAGTTGTTTTATACTCAACTGACTAGCTCCCACATAGTGTGGTATGTTTTAGATGTTGCACTACGTGAACTTGGGCAATTCATTGTCACTTATAAACATATTATGTCAAAACTGGGGAATTTTTGAACATTTGCAATATTAGTGTAAAATATAGATAAGGACAGAAGTCCATTAATAACTTTTTAGTCTAAAGTTTTCATGAGCTGAGAACTGTCTCATCTTCCAGAGATAAAGGCTGTGGCTGGTCTCCTTGGTGTATCTGGTTTGTCACTGTACAGAGGCCTGACAACTGTTTCCAAGAGCATAAAAGGTGACATTATCAAACAAGCTGCATGTCCATCTAAGGTAATGTACCTTGGCAATATATATTGCTTTTACTTCATGGTGTATTTTGTTATGTGTATTCATAAATTGGGCAGCAGTACAAAGCCATCTTATTTAGAAGCTCAAATTTGGATCCAATTTCATTTTAGCTTATTTCACCTAATTGTATTAACTTCAATATTAATATTTTATCTTTTTTACTATTGGTAATCACAGGCCTACAAGAACCGAGATGACCTTGCCAAGGCGCTATACAAGCGTGCAGTGATGGCTGTCGTGAGACGTGCAAATAGTTTGAGACGCCTCAGTTCTGAATTCTCCCTTAGTATTGATAGCAGTGACACCTCCATGACAGGATTAGGTAATCACTATACATCCTTTTTTCCCTTTCACAATAGTTTTAAATAACCTAGGCAGTTCCATAAATTCTTATTTATGATTCATAGTTATAAATGTATTTACCTGTATTTACCCAAGGTTATTAACTTGTTAAGTCATAAAGTTATAGATACAACATATATGTTACATACTTATTTAATGAGTAGTTTAAAAATAGTTATTTGAGAAACATATTTCAGTGGAATTATCCCCCCCCCCCCCATCCCAATTTTCATGATCCAGTATAATGCCATTGCCTGTTCATGTTGATATGTTGTAGGGTACAGCTCCAGTATGAAATCAGCCTCCCCTGGGATTGGTCCACAAGAGGGCGTGATAGGATTACTGGAGATGTTTGGTTTTGAAAATCTGCAGGTTTCGTATCAAATTTTTTTGCATGCTGTCAAACTTAAAACACAGTTCCTTTTTCAGATATATTTTACATGTAGTTGTTCAACTATATATTCTTTTTTTATGTATTCCAATTTAGTTATTCAGTTTTAAAAAATTATGGGTTAATTATAGGGATGATTACTGCAAATTAGAGAGAAATTTGAAAAAAATAAATAAATAAGCAGCTCTCATCTCATCCCTTATTTTCAAAGTGTGAAACCCAATCAACAGCTAATTTTACTTTTACATATCAATGAATCCGGTAATTAAACTTTCCTAAAAAAATGACAGGTGAAACTAATAAATGCTAAGTTCTAGCTAGCAATTTTTAAATTGATCACCACAAAAATTTTACAAAAAGATTTTTTTAAAAGCTAGCACAAATACCATGATGTACATTGTAGCATAAAGCAAAATTTGAGCTATCACAGTACACAGTTCAAGACATTTTATATCTATCTAAATTCTTACTAGGAAAATGGACTGGAGCAAATGTGTGCCAACTTGTGTGCTGAAACCATACAACACTTTTACAATAGCCATGTCTTCAGAACACCTGCAAACAGCTACCTAGAGGAGGGATTGCAAGATGTGATGGAAATACCATTTTTTGATAATGCTCCCCTTATTACATTTATTTCATCACAGGTAAATCTGCAATTGAAACATTTCCATCTCAAAGCTGAAAAAGAATAACATGTTACTTAGTTGTTACAAATTTGATAATGAAAAGACACAAGAATAACAACAATTTGCCCTTGTAAAATGACCCCCAACACATGCACAAAAATAATCAAGATGTCAATTTTTTCAATATTCCAGAAAACGGGCATTCTCCACCTCCTTGATTCAGTGTACACCAACACTGGGAGTGCCGAGGATTTTCTCCATACACTAGAACACCAGTTAGCAGTGAGAACAGACAGCAATAAGTAAGAACCCCATTTATATTTACCATCTATGTATTTACCCATTTATCTTTTTTCCATGACCTTGACATGCATTACAACAATCAACTCATGGTCAGTCATTATGAGATTCTGCACTTACTATTTTTCTATATATACACTGTACATCATTACTGTTCACTAAGTAACTATTTCTGTTCATGTCAGATTGTTTGGTAACATGTCATTTGCCATCATATTATGGCTAAGGTTGTATTTGGCCTTTTGAACATATTTGTATCAAGTGATAAAATGTCTTAATTTAAGATGTATATGTACCTACTGAAAATTAGTATTAATTAACCATTTTCCTGTTCTAATGTAAAATATTTATTGTTTTGATAAATATTAACATTTTACTGTGTATTATTATATCAAGCCTTGCTTTCATACACGTGTAACTCTGTATAAGTGGAAATTAACCACAGCATTTAAATTTCTCACTGTTATCTTTCATATTACGTTTTATAGATATATTGAAGTCTACGAGGACAACCAGAGCTTCATTATAAAACATTATTCTTGCCCAGTGAAATACAATACTTTAGCCATGTTAGAAGCTAATACAGATGAACTGGATGAAAATGTGATAGCAATTTTCTCCAAACAAAACTGTAATTTTGGATTTGTAGCCCATTTGTTTTCAAGTGAGCTCAGAAAAATGCAAGGTAACAACATATTATAGCATTGTATACTTTTTTAAAAGTTTATATTTAAAAATATTTGAATGGTGATTCTAATTATTGCATTTGTGTACTGTTTATTCTGATTTTTGTGACATTTAAAGTAATCACTCTATCTATTCAATGTACAAAAATTAGCAATGTTTTCAGATACTTAATTTTAAAATCATGAAAATTACATTTAAGATAGCATTTGCAGTGCTTTTACTACATAAAATTGAGCTATAGAGTAGACTGCTTTTCAATTTTGTTATTACTACTCATTAGGAATGTTCAAATTTTAAGAAATAGTGACTTAAAAATACAGTTACTGTATCTGTAAAATTCATATAATGTCCAATTTATAACTGTACCTCTTTTCCTTTATGCTAATGCTTCACCTTTACACCTTAAATTTAAGTACTGCATTATATATGTTGTACCGTACATTTTGATTTCGCACAGGTACTGGTGGAGGCTGCTACAGGGTATCCACAGGTGCAACTGGATGTGATTACAGGTAAAAATGCTGAAAATATGACACTGAAATTGATGGAAACTGGTATAGGGTTGTCAACTCGACTATCATTTATATAGATATTTTATGCATCTCTTGTGTTGATGCTCATTGTTTTAGGAGTTATATTCTATTGTTAATGACATGAATACTATAATTTTGGCAACCCTGTAGATATACATAACCTGGGCGATAGCCAATTCAGGGGGTAGCCTTCCTTGGCTTCTTGCATGTATGTGTCTTATTTCTCCTTACCCCCTCCCACCGCACACACACACACACGCACACACACACACACACAAAGAGAGACAAAACAAAGCTTTTTTCATCTCTGTATCTTAAATGTTACAGTAAAATTGCCCTTGACTAGTAATGACAACTTTTATATTTGCTAAGTTCTGTATTTTCCATAGCTGGATCATGTATGATCATGTAACTGATGAGGGATGTAATGTCACCAAAACATATTTGGTAAATTTATCATTATCATCACTGAATTAAACTAAATTTTAACATTGAAAGGAATTTAAATCCCCTTTTCATCTATTTGCAGTCAAGGTAGGACTTTCTCACAAGATTTTCACTGCAGTTTGGACAATTTGCTGAAAGCGATAGCCTCTGCAGAGCCACACTTCATAACCTGCCTTAAGGTAAGTGGGGTTTGATCACCTTATTATTTCTAATAATAAACAAAGGAACTGATTTTTAATTAAAGACATGACAATGTCATTTATAGCAAATCTAGAAAAACTGTGGATAATTTCATAAGAATTTATCTGATTTTAGAGTCAGGTACCTGAATAATTACTTTCTGAAGCAATCTGTCAGAGATCTTTTGATTTAAACACTTCATTGGTTTATGAGAGTACCCATTTTCAAAGTCAGGCAATTTCATTTATGAATTGTTCCTTACTAGTCGAACCTAAAGGGAGAAGCATGCATGTTTGATGAGGACCACATTTTACAACAGACCAGGGCTTTGCAGATAGCAGAAACTGTGCAGCTAATGGCTGGAGGTGAGAAACATCCAAAACAATTAAGGCTGCTAACAGGACAGTCACTTCAGTACCATCAACTGTTAAAAGTAACCAAAATAAGGATTAGCAATTAGTTGTTAACAGTGTACAGAGATTAAGAGGTATAGCATTGGCAAATTTACTATAATGATATACATAAGCATAATCACTACAATAATCCTCTGATTGTTGTGTACTTCATTTTACAATGGAGATAATTTACTTTAGCATAATTTAAATTTTGGTTTTTCCTTAAATGAAAAAGAAATACATATGAAAGCTGAATTTTTTACACAAATACAATACTCACAACAACAGCAGCAGTACACAGAGCAGAGTGAAAACATTTTTAAATATTAATAACATTGAATACTGGATTAATAGACACAAAACATCAACTAATTTTCATCATTTTAGGCCTCCCTCACAGAATGCGATTCAGATCATTTTGCAACAGGTACTGGTTTCTTATACCATTTAGCAAAAGAAAAGACAGGCGCACAGAAAAACCAGAAATTCTTTGCAAGGTAAATGTGACAAATTGACAAACAAAAGGATTGTAGACAAATAATTATATTTATGAAAAGAGAGACTGATTACTATTTTTGTTATGTTTTGATCGGAACATTTAAACTGAACAAGTAGTATTGATAATATTTCCTATCATTTTTTATTTACAAAGTTGGCCTATGTTTGAGCTTTATACCAGTTACCCCCCCAAAAAATGTCATCATATTTACTTAAATTAAACAGGAAATGATACCATTTCTTCATGTAAATGCTAAAATATCAAATTTTCCTCAAATACTTGTGTTCTCATCACGTGACCTATGATGTGTAAATTATTATTCTAGACTGTACTAGAAAACTACCTTAAGATCATGGACGAAAATGATCAGCCATATACAAGTGCCAACTGGATGTTTGGAAAGAGATCTGTGTTCTTCAGGTATGTAAAGGTCTGCTGGTTGAAAAATTCATCTTGAAAGAGTTTAATTCTCACATCTGGCTTATCTCATTTGAAGAGATGGATAAAATTTTGGTCTTTGTTGTGAACTCATTATCATCACAAAGTAAATGAAATGGATCATTTCTTGTTAATCACAAAAACGAACTGAGGTAATAAAAGTTCCCTTTTTTAAGAATAATAAAAATTTCCTGTGACAGAAATACACAGATATTGCAGCAGTGAATCGAAGTGTAATGTTTTACTCATTATGTGAACATGTTGATATGTATCAATAGACTGATGAATAATCATTTAACCAGATAGCTTTTATGAAAATGTTAAGGCTTTTTAAAGACACAGGATTAAGTTGTACAAACTTTTCATAACCATTAGTATGAACCACATGCAGTTGCAATGGAAAGCACATGGAACCCAATTTTTATCCAGTATTTCTAAAATTTTATGTATTCGATAATACTTTCATTGTGAAATAGTGTTTTAACTCTTTGCTTTTCCAGTGAAAGTGCCAGACAACAGTTTGAAAAGTCCAGGAAGGAATTGTTTCACCGAGCTGCCATTGTGATTCAAACTGCATGGAGGAGGGTCAAATGTGTCAAAGGATGGCCATTGCTGAAGAAACAATTAGAGATGAGAAAAAGACGGAGAACACCCGTTTCTGGATTCAAGTCCAGGTAGAGGATTAAATAATATATTTGTTTACTATTAGAGATGGGCATTTGGGTCATTACTACGTGTTTCATCATTATATTTAAATCCTTTCTGAAATTTTAGGCATTAAATATTTTATGTATATTTTACTTCATGTGGGCACACTCTCAGGGGTTAAAGGGATAATAACTCTTCGTATGAAATCTGTATTTCACAATAAAAACATTGTGAATGACTCATGAAAATATAATATATTCTGTTTTCCCACAAAAACGGCTGTTATAGCTATTATTCTGATATCTGAGCTTGTCTTTAGACCACGTGACCTCCATTGATGGCTATACTCTGTTAAAATCTCTTAAGAGATTTTAACAAAAAATCAAACTTTTTAGAAAAAAACCAGGGACTAACTTTGAATGTAAAAATGGATTCATTAACCATTGGTAAGTATGGGAAAATTGTTGTTTACTCCAGGAAAATTCATTTTTTGGTCGAAACGAAGAGTTATTATCACTTTAAATGCAACTGCTTGTATGTGTAACTTTTCAGACGAAGGTCCAAAACGGCCACCTGCATCAGCTACAAGCCAAGTGCACTGTCCCAAATAAGCTGCAATAAGACAGATGAAGAACTAAAGACATTCCAACATTTTGCTAATGTCTATGGTCTAGAAACGGTATGTATATATATATATGGATGTGGTTTTCTATCTGTTCTGTCTGCCAGATGGAGGGTTAGTACATGCACTGCTGAAATTCTTTATTTATACCTCTGACATGTACGAACATGATCCATAAAAGTTTCAAGTGCTCAGTGTGTCTATTTTCACCAATTATTTATTTTTTGTATACTATTAATATTCTTTTGTTACATAAGGTACACTATTAATATGGCTTTGTTACATAAGGTGACTGCTCCTCCACCAGTTCCAAACAAACGGGAATACACTGTTGTTGGAAATATGAAACATGGTTTCCCACAGAGAAGAAAAATGAAAGAAAGTTTTTCTGGTACGTACACATGACATAGATCTTAAAACATGCAGTTCTCAATAGGTTTCTTTAGTTCTTTCCCAGCTCCATGTGCTTTAAAAATGAACAGGGAAACACAGCTTTGAACTCTGTAAGTAGAGGACCACATACTTGTGATAGTTTGGGATTATAAAACCTTTTGCTGTATTAGGTAGAAATAAGTAACTTAAAATATGTTTATCTGCTGTAAATGAAATTTTACAAAAAAAAAAAAAATTCACATGCTCACAAAATACAGGTTGATGTGTTTTCTACAGCTGCATTTAATATTTACACTTGAGCCAATAATTCAATTTTCTGCACAATCAATTCATTTAAGTATGGTCTTGTTGCAGATGGGCATGGCATTTTGTATAAAGGTGAGGTTGTAAATGTTCAGGGACCGTCATCAGCCATTCCTGGTGCTCTACTTGTGTCAACTGGAGAGAGGACAACGCAGGTGCCATATCATTACACAGAGTTCTCTGGGAGTTATCTGGTAAGATAACCTAAGTCAGATTCCACTTATTTCTTTAACTTATTAAAAGAATGTTCATGTAAAACACTTCACATTCCACAGAATAGTGACAATTTTAGAAAAAACTGTATCCCTTAAATTGACACCATGAGTACTCTGAGAAAAGGGATATCCAACAAGTCAGTTTCCACTAGAAACTGAAACTTGGGATGGCTTTTATATTTAAATTACCAAATTTCTAAATTTAAGGATGCGTCTGGTACATTTGCTGGTCAAGATGAAGGAGTTTGCATTTAGGACAGAAACATATGATCAACACAAGCAAAAGGAAATCCTGCATGATGTGAAACAAACGAGGGCTTTAAGTCATTAACTTAAAAGATTTTTAGATTGAAAAATGTGACAAGGAGACAAACATAAAGGTGTCAATGATAGACCAAAGACAAGTTTTCACAGACTTACTCGTTCCACCCAAGTTAGGTCAAGGAAGTGAGAAACATCTCTGTTAAGACTTTTGGGAAGGAGCTTACATGCACATTATTTAAGTAGAATGCCAAGTGTCCCCATGATGGCAAAACATCAAAAATGGTCATATCCTTAATTTACTAGAAATGGTTTCAAACCACCAGCACTGAGCAAGTTTTGAAGTAAGGCTTATGCTGCTTAATGAAGAGTAAAATCTCCACTGTGGAGTGATTTGCAAAATAGCTCTCTATCATAATTCAGTTACGTTAAAACAAAAAAAAAGTATTCAGATAAGATAAGCATATGGAATATTGTTATGTTTACTTACAGTTTTCTTTCTGTACATATTATAAATATAAATTTTTCTCCATTGTAAAACTGAGGCTAAACAATATTATTTTGTGTTATTGTATTTATATATTTTGAGATAAATTAAATATTTAAACAACTGTCATTTGTAGCTTGGTTTAGCATAGCTGTGAAGTTACACATGATATCTTATTTTCTAATATGCGTAGCTTCTTGGGTAACATGAACCATTACACTATGAGGCACGTACAACAAAGAAATAACATTATTTTTTTATTTTCCATACTTCTATCAAAAACTTCAGTTAATTTAAGTCTGGAAAGAATTCCAACTCACTGTCTCCTAAGATTTGTAAGCTTTGGTCTGTATTTTTGAAACCATCATTCTTGCATAAAAATCCTGATATTCCTCTGGAAGTTCTTTTAACGTTTTTAAAGCTCTGTCTAAAATCTGCATTGCACGGCCCACAGGCAATGGGTCTTTGTTGCCATAAGTGTCTTTACTGTCATATAAGTGCTCCTCCAGATGTTTCCAGAACACATTCACTGATATAGCAAAGTCCAGTGATTTCACATTATGGAACCACATAGCTGGAAAAGAAAAGAAAAAAGAGAAAAGAAAATTATTCATTAAATTCTGCTCCAAGTTAACAAGCAGAAATACACACACATTAGAAGGAGTAGACAAACACCAGGAAATTATTTTAATATATCTAATTACTAATACTTGTTCTGCACTTTTTTCAGTTGCACAAATTAAGTAGTTTTCACTCAGCTGTGAGGATGAGCAGAGGAAAGATATTACCTGGTATAAATAATGTATCCCCAGGCTCCAGTAAGCAACAATATCTTCTTGCTTTGACAAATTCTGGAAACTTTTCACTATCTGGGTTGTCAACATCCAAAACTTCTGACTTATCACCTTTGTAATAAAGATGGGTAATGTTATAATATATGTAGCTTTTTATTTCAGAAAAAATATTCAATTTTATTCCCCTTTTCTTAAATGAAAAAAAAACAACATCTACTGGTTTATAATAATAAATAAATGATCACTTAAAAAGACAAAAATATCAGATGTTACATTCAATTTAAGTAATCCAGTGTTGAATTTGGTCACAATTTTTTTCTGTAAGTTTTAGATATGAAAAAACTTTTGCAAAACAGTCTGTCATTACTGTTATGAGGTTATGTATCCTACTTACCTTGCAAGTATAAATAATTTGCATCTCTTGGGCTGAATAAGATCACTTTTTTCCTTCCTGTCACTTGAATTAAAAAGTTATCCATTACCTAAAGTGCAAATGATGAAGTTTTTCAAAAGTGTTTCTCTTTTGAATTTTTGACATTATTTCAAATATCTTAGGGCTCAATCCCAATGAACTTATCATTCTACCTACTCTATCCAACTCTGTGGAGACTGTACTTATGATATTTACACTTGCTAGATTAATTATCTTCAAACACCACTCATTCTAATCACAACAAGGGAAATGTCCACCCACATCATAGTGTGTCCATAGCTGGATGTTAGCAGAAGATATTCTAAACACGCTTGAGAAAAACTTTTCTGGCTCAAAGTATTCTGGAATAAAAATATCACTAGCCAATGCAGGAAATTGCTTCCGAATGTCTGCTACATCCTTCCTTGGGTCATCACCAAGTGCTCTCAAATAATATTTCTCATCCTGGAAAATTGAAAAATGTGATCAATATAAACAATTTTTGCCATTTGGGAGGATCAAAATTTGCTGTCTCACTTACCAAATTACATAAATTAAAAATATTTATAATGCCACATATAATTTATATAATAACATGTTCTTTCAAAGAAATACAATTGTTAAATGTTTGCATAAAGTATTGGCATGTTTTTTTAATCACCTCTGTAAAGAAATATTCTTCATGTTTTTCTCTAGCAGCTCTCTTTACAAATTCACTAAATGGCAAGGTCCTGAAACAAACTTACTTTTAGTGATCTGCCTAGTAAAACACATAAAAAGAAGTGTTTATTTCATCCATAATTTTCATTTAATGATCTATAGCTGAACATAAGTAATTGATAAATAAATAAGGACAACCATTTTAATGTGATGAAATCCTGATTTGTTATAACCATATTTAATGTGATGAACTCTTGTTAGAAAACATGACTTACCTGTATGCAAAATTTTTGTTTATAAAATCCATCTGATGACTTGGCGAGACATGAATTTTTACGTCTTTTTGTGATCCAGGCACACTTGATAAATATTCTGGTGTCCATTTCTTTACACATGGACCTATGGAAATCCCTCTCAGCACTACTGGTATTCTCTGGAAAGGGGGAATGAATCTTAAATTAAAACTGCTTGGTGCAATTATCAATTATAAAAATGGCTCATCAAACTTATACAATATATTCTCCAGATTACCTTTTCTTCTCAATGAGTGACAATTAACTTTAATAACTAGAGATCTATGAGGTTAATTAGACTGGGTTTTAACATTATAGCAACATAAATTGACTGATACAGGTACCTTGGGATAAACATGTTTAATAAAATTTTCCTTAGAGTGGTCTTCAATTATTTCCACTTGATGCTCTAACAAATTAGACATGTTTGTTATCTGATCAAATGCCAGCTAGTCCTAAAAAGAGAATGACACAGTTTTTCAACTATTCACACCACAATTGATTTAGTCACATTATAAAGATAGCTTGTACCCCTTCTTTTGCAAGCCAGCTGACTAAATTAAGAGCTCCATAGATAGCAAATTGAATCCCTTTGTTCCCTAAAGCTGAAATAAGCAGAACTCCACGCCCAGTGAGGGGCATGGTGATTGGGAAAACAACAACAGAATTAAACAATGGTGATTGATGAGGGAAGCAGGGTTTACATTCTCTAGCATTCTTACATTCAGTAAGTACCTAACATGAAAAGCTGATAATAGAGGCAAACATTTAATTTGGTACCAGATGGTAATCGGTACTTTTGCAGTACCCCCCCCCCTCCCCCCNCCCAACAGATCTACTTTTACCCTTAAAATACACGAGACGAAATCAAATAAGGGTTTCATCACTTGTTGCCCGTTTCAGACTTATAGAATGATCTCAAATTTGTGAGGATCCGTGAATGGTGTCTGTCTGTACCTTCTATCAGACTGAAGTCTCTGACAAAATTAATGTGTCTCCTGCGGCTCCTTTTTTCTACCAACTATCCCCATGCACTGTAATATGAATTTATAACCCATTGGTTCACAGGTGAGCCCACCCCGTAACTCTCTCATGTTTTAATGCTAATCAAAATTATGTGGCGACTTTGATCAATGTTTTTCCTATTCAAATAAATCAGTTTGGAAACATACTAACTTATTCTTTAGAGAATAAAGTGATTTTTTCTTCAATCAACGACAAAATATTGGAAATTTTTACCTCCAATATTTCGCTGTAGTATCTGATGAATCTGATGATGATGGATGATCAAAATTGGTAAAAAAATATGTTGAATATCACAAAGTTACATGGTGGAAGGGATAGGGCAAATGTACCTGGTAACCTTTAGAAAAATGAAAAACAATTACTTCAATGGATAGAACAGTATGACTAAGAAACACCATCAAATTTTAACGGCATTAGTAACCCCCGTGAATCGTGGGTGCTGCCATATTGAATATCGTTTTTACCCTTTTCATACGAAAGATCGCTCACGGAAAACACCGGAATGACACGATGATACACGAATAGTTCAAAACAAACTTGTCATGGCGTGTGCAGGAAAATTGATCATTTCTAAGACTACGATGTTTTCGACGTGATATTGATGTTTCACTGTTTTTGAATTCAGTATGGGAAACTATGTATCATCACATCTGAACGCAAACTCTGAGAAGAGAGGTAAAAAGAGAGATGTCAGCGAAGTGCAGCCCGAAGAAGAAAAAGTTCAAGAACAGAATTTCCAGACACCAAAAAGGTTGGTATAATCTAATGTGTAAAAATGAAATATTGAAGTTGTGTTAGCATGCGCTTTCTGATTTTATATATCTGTGACTTCAAGTTTATGCTTTTTAAGTCTTAATTATTTTAGATACAGAAAAGTTTATCTAAAAATGAAATTATAACCTTTATACATGAACTACATGTACCACTAGTATGTAATTTTGATAAATATACTGTAGTTGATTAAAAACATTTTTCTCGAACTCTTCTTGTCTATATCATTACGTCTGTCTTAAGCTTACAAACGGAATCAAAATGGTTGCTTTAATTGCCAAATTAAAATGTGGTGTATAAAAGATAATTTTTGTTTACTTGAAAAACAGTGATGGTACTAGTAGAAACATATGAAAATTTAAAGTCACTGAAGATCTGAGATCATTATCCATCTTACAATATTGCTTCAGTTAAATTGAGGTCTTACTCTACTTCTGGCCCAGTGGTATGTAGAAGATTGAGGTGCTTTTTTACTTTTATTAAAATGTACTGTTTTATATCAGTGTTACCTGGAACCTGATACAGTTTCTACCACAATTCCTAAAAAGAAGTGAATGACATTGGAAATAAAGTATTGTGTGTCTTTTCTATCTGATTCAGTAGTAATGGCATGTTCTTCATTTATTTCAACAGGCGGAAACTGAAATCTACCACCAAGTATATTTACCAAACTCTGTTTTTGAATGGAGAGAACAGCGATGTTACAATCATTGCAATGGGAAGGGAATGGCCACTGCATAAGGTGTATCTATGTCAGGTAAGAAATGTGTTGATATGAAAATTAGTTTTAAGTGTCAAAGAGGCCATCTCTCTATCAAGTTCCTAACACGAAGTTTTTAAGACTAATTTTTTTCTAGATCTTTTTGTCAAGTTTGTTTAGCTAAAGAAAGATTTACTAGTACATTGTTTATGCTTTATTTCAGTTTCACTTAGTAAATTGTTTTCTTTATTTAAAATGTTTTGTTTTATTGGACATCATTCAGTCTCTGTTACTGACATCATTCTAACAAATATTCATTCATGCAGAGGTCTTTCATATTTTTCTGTGGGCTTGGAAACATAAATTAAAGTAATTACAAACGTCTTCTTTCAGTTTTGAGTAAATTATTTATTCCATTACAGGTGCATGATTCATATCATGGTGAGAATAATAAGATGCATTTTATTTTCATCTGGTTTCAATTTTCTTTGACACACCTCCAATCTCCAAAAGCTAGGCCTCTCTTTGAAGGTGCTACCAAATCAGTTGGCACTGGTGGATCTGGTATTAGGATCTCTGGTGGATCTGGTATTAGGATCTCTGGTGGCTTCATCACGTTGAGACATTTCAGTCCCTGAGAACAGCCACACCCTCTCCAAATCCCACCACACCAGGCATTTTCCTTGATATAGCTATAACAGTATTCTGAAATACATTTAATTAATAATAATAATAATAATAATAATAATAATAATAATAATAATAATGTTTATTACATGTCCAAACTTCTTATGAAATTTTCACTAGACCTGACAAATGAATAGATAAATATTTACAGCAACTGATGCATCCACTTAATTTGACAGGTACTGGTACATGTATGTACACATTAAGATGACATAATACTTTTAATGCATAATATTTAGAGTATAAAATGAGTATTATAAATGGAAAAGGACATATTTTGAAGCTCTGTCTACTTTTATCTGTGTGATATAATTTTGCTTTTTTTTTTCTTCACAACATTGTTCCGTCACAGCTTACACTTACTCTTGGGCTGCCAGGTCATTGGATTACTTTTATCTGGAAGTAGTACAGCTCTTTTGCTAGCTATGAATGGGTTTGGCTCCTCAGCACAGCACTGCCCATCATCACAGTCATCACTGCTGGTGCACTCTCGCTTTGTAGGGAGCACCAGAGCACTCTGGAGATATGGCACAAAACAAGTCAAGAAGTGGAAAAAAGGAAGATCTGCATATGTTAGATATTGGTTGGAGTTTTTAATCATCCCTGTAAGAAAGTGTTGTGAATTTGACTTAAAGAATTGAGGTATGATATCAAAATAAGTTAAAGTTAGTACTCAGTCATGGTTGTTTTTGTACAAAACTTGACAGTTTTTGAAAAACTGATTAAATCCTTGGATTTTAGTCTCTTTTACTTACCAAGGTCAGGCCCAGCAAGGCTAAGAATACCACCAGTGTCTTCATACTGCTTGTGTGTTTTGAGTGGCGGTTGTGGTTTGAGAAGGTGTTATGTACGGTGAACATGATGCATGGATATAAGGTCAGATAACCCTTCACCTTTCTGTGTGAATCCCTTCAGCTGATATCATGTTGTGTCCTAAAACTGATCCTTGGTGGAGGATGAGTGGGCTGGCCGTCATCAAAAACAGCTTTATAGTCAATGTCCTGAGCTTCAGGGCCCATTCCCAATGTCCCAATTCTACATATGTCGGTCCAACTTGATGGAGACTCTCAGTGAATGTAAGCAGATTAACATGCCTTCTCTAGGCATAAAGCCAGTGTATTGTTACACTATTTGGTATAACTACATACTAAATAAATATGGAAAGTGGGAAAGTGAGGAAAGAAAGAAAATTAATCTGTCTGAGATATTAGTTAGTAAAAACAGAGGATAAAAATGTTTTGACCAGCTAGTGATTTATTGGCTTGGAAGTAGATGGATCATTTACACATAAGTGGTTTGGTATTCTTTAATTTTTAAAATTCAAATTTATGAGAGTTCCATGTTACTCCGTAGTTTTAACACAGCGGAAATCTCCAAATGCAATAGCCCTTTTAGCATCAATTTTCGTAGGGATTTTTACAGGGATAGCAGTTGCTATGGTAGGGGGTTGCCACAGGTTCTTGCAGGTGAGGCCCTCAGCACATCCACACATGGTCCTGAAACCACCACAGAAGCCATTTTCCTGTATGTAGGAGTAGCAGTAATCTGAAAAGAAAAAGCGTCAAAACATCAAAAAAAGATGTTGTGTTTCGTAGGCATTTGGGCCCTGTTTACAACCAAGTTGATCCATGGACCACTAGTGACTGATTGGCAGATCAAATATGCTCGATCCACTTGAAAACTCTCCTCGTAGTCTCCTAATGGATTCCCTGCATTTGTAATGCTTATGAAAGATTATTGTTACATTTTTACAAGTCCATGCTGGGAAGTATTTTACTTATCAACTCCAATTTGTCATTGAGGATGTTCAAAATGTATAGGATCATTCATGCATGCACAAATGCACACACAAACACACACACACACATTTCTGTCTTACTTTTCGGTTTCCATTCCCAAGGTTTTATAGGTTGCAAAACGTCCCTCTTGCTTGCAATGAATGGGTTCGGTTCTGGGGCGCAACACTCTCCATCCCCACAGTCATCATTGGACTGACATTCTGTTTTGGTTGGCAGTACAACGGCACCCTGGAGAAGTCATATAAATTCATCGTTTTTTTTTTATATATGAAGTATATTTATATGGAACAAAAAATAAAGTTAACAAATTTATAGGTGTAATGAATATGAAATAAAATTAAAGTAGATTTTGCTTCTACTTATTTTGTCAAGATTGATTAATTGTTCATACTTACATAGGCCAGACCAACCACAAAGAGTAATACAAACAAGCTCTTCATGTTGTTGACCTTACTGCGTAATTTACCAGTCTCTTTTGAATCTTTCTATTTTTACCTTCCTTTAAATCCTTCAGTTCATGCTGGGAAAATCAGTATTATCTTTGTCATGTTTTGGCATTGACCATCCTTGCTGTATAGGTGTAAGAAATGATGTCATAAGCTCTTATCTTGCACATGGTCAAAGTTGCACGCTTTGCTTTTAAGCTGGATTATTTCAGATATGGTATCAATATGGTATGTTACAGCAGGGGCAAATTAAATTGAAGTTGTTGATATATATATATATATATATATATATATATATATATATATATATATATATATATATATATATATATATATATATATATATAGTAGTAGTAGTACATAATGCATTTCTTAATTTAATAACTTAAAAATGCTGTAGGTACCTTAAGACAAAAGTGGAAGCTGCTTTACAAAAAAATTCAAAGGGTCTGAGACCGGTCAGTCTTGTTGTCAGTCCCCCTCTTAGCAATTTTGGAAAATATGTATGTAAAATTCATGATATTTATAATATATTTTGATATATAAAATAGTTTCAAAAATGAATAGTATATAGTTTTCTTATATACAAATGTGATAAGTCAATTGACATATGTCAGAAGATGGAGACAGGAGAAATAAGTAAGACCAAGATAAAAAAAAAATTATATGAATTTGAAATTTATTTTCACTATTTAGTTTTACATCAAGAACAGTTCAATGTTTATGTCCAACAGTGCCAATATTCATAAATATACTGTTAGATCGGGTCGTTTTACTGTTGTACTTTAGTGCAGCGCCAGTCCCCAGGGCGGATATCTCTCTTGGAGACTTCTTGAATGGGGACAAGGTTTATTGGTTTAAACACATCCTGGCAGCTGAGTCCAGAGGCACAGCCACAGGTTGTTTGAAAGCCACCACACCACTCATTCTCTTGTATGTAGGAGTAGCAGTACTCTACAAAAGAACCACCGTACAGACCTCATAATTACCTATTGCATATTAGGTGGCAGTTATATGTGGTTATAGTCTGTCTAGAAAAAAAAAAACAACAACAGAAGTCCCCTTTCAAGTTTTATCATTGGTATGAGGTATCTTATCCATTTCATCAGATGAAACTTCAGGGGCGGATCCAGAGATATTTTCTGACAGTCTTCCATATTATATTTGTTGATCCATCCTCCATTTTTGACCGTCTTCCGACAGAAAAAATTAGATACCCGTCAATGTAAACTTGAAAATCTGACCGTCTTCTGGAAGACCCAGAAGACGGCCTAAATCCGCCCCTGAACTTTATAAATATTTTGTGGCTTTAAGAAATTAAAATATATGTCCAATAATGACTTATATCTTATATTTCTGTACATTTCTTTACTATTTCATTAGCAGGTTCTTGGCTTGTTTTTCTTAATTTGCACAATAACTGCCATTCATGTACTGAACATATTAGCGCTATTGTATTTGTCCTTACTTTTAGGTTTCCAGAGCTCAATAGGCTGTGGCACAGGCTTCAGCTCCCTCTTGCTGACCATGAAGGGGTTAGGCTCCAAGGCACAGCATTCATTGCTCTGGCAGTCAGCACTTGTAGTGCATTCTTGACGCTTCACTGCTGCACTCTGTGGAGGGAAGAAGTTAAAATATATAAATATATTTCTTTTTTTTATTCAGACTTGCTACAGTCTTGGAATAGTGTTTCAGAATTAAGCATTTTTTTTTTTCAGTTCATTTCAGTGCAATTTTTAAGACAAAATGATTTCAAAAATAAAAGCTTTGAGCTTATGCTCAAAGGTAGTTTCTAGATATACTACAACTGCTCCTTTTCCTGGCTAAATAAATGTTACTCACAAAAACAGTTGCCAGACAGGCCAGGAAAACCAGCATAGGCTTCATGTTCAGTATTTAACCACTTTGTGGAATGACAGTCCTTTGCAGTGTTTAGTGTACATGGCTTATGATCTCCAGCTGCAGGTTTTCTCAGACATTGGGTGTGTCAAAGGGGATTGCTGTAAATTTGACCACAAGGGTGTGACATGGGTGCCTTCAACTCATATGAATCATATTATTACTGTATTATTTTATCACAATAGTAATGCAATAATTTGTTTTGTGACATGATCACAGATTTTCACGTCCACCTATGGGTCTAGAGAAAATCACTTACATTCAGTTTATCGGTCTAACATTGCCAAGAGGTGGCCACTCCCAAAGTCAATAATTGCATAATGCAGATAGAAGCAATTTCCTCATTTCTTTGCATTTTTGCCAACTACAAGCATTAAGGCATTTCCTACCTTTGCTGTTGATCCCAAAATAAATAAATTTAAATAAATATTTTTCTTTTAAGCAATTTTTTTCTTTTTTTTTTTAAGATGACTTCAAAAAATACAACCTAAAAGACTATTTTGCTTGCAGTGTAGGTACTTTGCAAGTTATTCTGTCACACACTTTGCTATTAAGCTGGATTATGTTGGGTGTGGTATCAAAATATGTTATTGCACAAATTAAACTAAGTGTTGTTAACATATTAACAAATTTACTAGTATATCTAGTATACATGTAGTGTACCTTTAAACAAAAGTGTAGGTTGCTGTACAGAAAATGAGAAGAACTGAGACAAGTTGGTCTTATTGTCTGCAGTCCTTTTAAGCATTGTGGGAAAACCTGTATATATTCCAAAATTACATACATACTTCTTGTCTTGACAAAAAGTATTTTTGATATTTTTATACTTGAAGGCATTGATTTGTCTTTATGATATGCTTGATTGTCAATTTTCATAAAAAGTGAATAGTATTCATGTTGTGAGTTTTCTGATTAATGAATATGATTAGTCAATCAACATATCAGTTAGACTATGAAGACATGAAGACAATAATGAAAATAGAAGACCAGAATAAAATTATATGAGAATAATGCTGATATGATCAGATTGAATTTTATTTTCACTTGGTAGTTTTACACCAAAGACACTTCAAAGTAATATATATAGAACAGTTTCAGTGATGCAGTTAAATCGGGTCCTTTTACTGTTGTACTTTAGTGCAGCGCCAGTCCCCAGGGATTGCCCTCTTGGAGACTTGTGCGATAGGGACGGGTTCCAATGGTTGCATCATATCCTGGCAGCTGAGTCCAGAGGCACAGCCACATGTGGTGTGAAAGCTACCGCACCATCCATTCTCTTGTATGTAGGAATAGCAGTACTCTGTAATAGAGAACCATTGCATTACACCTTACCTTTTTGCATATTAGGTGCCAGTTGAACATAGTTACAGTAGGAAAAAACAAAAGTTTCTTTTAATTCTTATTACAGATGTGATGTCTTTTATTATCTTCATCCGATAAAAGACTTATATCTTCTCTCGATCTGTATTTTCTCTTTATTTATTTATTTCATTATTATAGTTTTATATTACTTGGGTTTTTCTTAATTTAAATGATAATTGTCATGTTTTGCTTAATTTAAATGATAACTGCCATTCATGATTAACATACAGCAAATATAAGTGTCAGTGTTTTTGTCCTTAGTTTTGGGTTTCCAGAGCTCAATAGGCTGTAGCACAGGTTGCAGCTCCCTCTTGCTGACCATGAAGGGGTTAGGCTCCAAGGCACAGCATTCATTGCTCTGGCAGTCAGCACTTGTAGTGCATTCTTGACGCTTCACTGCTGCACTCTAAAAAAAGTTGAAAATTTTGTTGAATTTTTAATAATATTTTTTCAGGAACTGATATGTGCTTTTTCTTTTGTTTTTATTTCAGTGCATTCTGTCAGATGAAATGAATTAGAAAAAATAGCAAATTAGAGTCAACGGCCTAAATTACTTTTTAGGTCCACTTATTTTCTCTGAAATTGTGGTCTTTTGCTCAGTTGAGTAACAGCATGCATGAATCAAAATAAGGTGTGGTCATATTTTTCTGGGTAAATAAATAATACTCACAAAAGCAGTTGCCAGACAGGCCAGGAAAACTAGCAGAAGCTTCATGTTCAGTACTCTTTGTGGAATGAAAGTACCTTGCAGTGTTAACTGTACATGGCTTATGATCTCCAGGTGCAAGTTTTCTCAACCAACAAGTGTCGTATGTCGGAGAGGATTGCTGTAGTTTTGACATAGAGTGTGACAACGCATATGAATCATATCGCTACTGTATTATATTATCACAATATAAATGCAATATATTTTTTATGCCAGTAGCAGCAATTTCCCCATTTTTTGCCACCTCCAAGCTCTGTTGTTGATCCTGAATTTTCAGTCAGTTTTTTTCTTTTCAGTAACTTTGTTTGCTTTGTTTAAGATTATTTTTAAAAATATACCATCAAACACTCTTTTTTGTTTTCAGTGTGGGTACTTTGCAAGTATGTTCAGTGGTTCTTGGAGAGAAAGTGAGCAGTCTGTGATAAACATGGACATCCCTGATGACAATATTGATGAGGAAGGTAATGGTATTGTAGCTCTGGACACGTCCTTGTTGAAATCAAATGAATTTTGCATTCTTTTCAGATTTTTTTTTTATTGACAGATTGACTCCAAGGTGCAGAAAACAATTTGCATGGATTTTATTTTGCGTTTTGAAAAGAAAGCTATTCTTTGGAGTAATAATCCTGTACTGTATGAGTATCATGTAATTATGGTATTTTAAACAATATTAATATCATCACTGATTGGCTTGAGTACTTGTATGACCTAGGGTAACTTTTGTTGTGTCGAACATAGCACTTAATTTTTCCTTAAATGTTGTGATAGGTAGAAATCAATCCCTATTTTTATTGTATAGGATTGGACAGACATTATGTATTCTAGCCTTGATAAATTAATTCTTGTGTTTTTCAGCCTTGAAGATTGCATTTGGATCTCTGTATCGTGATGATGTGTCCATCAAGCCTGCCAATGTAGTGAGTGCCTTGGCGGCAGCCACACTACTACAACTGGTAAGACTGGAAATTTGATATAACAATGACTAAGACCCCATTCCCAGAGATTAGATCGATCCAACTAGATCGACCCAACTCCCTGGGGGTTCACGCTAAATAGCTGTCAGCCGAGCGGGCACAAAAGTTAATTACCCCCTTACAGCTTGTAGTAAGCGGGTCGGACATTTAAGCCAGATTATCTGACAGTAATCTAGTGAGACTCCCCACGGGGATAGATCGATCTAAAATCTATGGGAATGCACCCTTAGTCATCCTAGAAATGAATTCTTTGCATATGTGCCATAGATAAGTCCAGGTTTAATTTTATTAGTATAATTATTTTTGTGTCAGCGACTTTGTAAATGCCTCTGAATTTTCAGCATTGTTGAGATTTGTCAAATTTTGATTGGCTTCCTTTGTTTAATAGAATTATTGTACACTTAAAAAAATGTTAATGGGGTATTATACATGTATTACAGGTATTCTGACTGTGCATAATGATATATAGGAATTCTTTTTTTTTTCTGCAAAGCCACAATTTTCAAGCTATTAATTTATGCCCATCTGACACAATGGCATTTGTCATTCCAGGAAGGCCTTATTTGTCAGTGTGCAGAAATAATGAAGGAGACTATTAGGTGAGGCAGCTTACATGTCTCTTGGCTGCTTACTTCTGCTACCTATGTGCTGTAAAGCATCTTTCAAAACAACTGTATTTTGGGGGTCAGCTGAAATGCTTGTGACCTCACCATGAAGGAATAGAAACAACAAAAATTTTGTGTTGAGATTTTCCTTACTGACTTTCACTGTCTCACTTGCTGAGTGACACAGAGAATTTAGTTCATATTTATAGACAAAAAACCAAGACCAATGAAAACAACCTCCTTCTATGGCGTGGATAATATATTTCATCAATTTTTTTTTTTTGGAAAATGGAATGAAATACATGTACAGGAATGCATCTTCAATATACATTTACGGTAATGACTCGATCTTTGATGCTTTTACTGTATAGAATCCCCCCCGCCCAATTGAAAAGATCAAGCAATTACTGTTATTATTTGATATTTATTGGACTGTTTTTACAGTATTTTTCCCCTATGTATTCCAGTGCTAAGACTGCCTGTTGGTACTATGGAGCTGCCCAGATGTATGGTCAGCAGGGGGTGGCCAAGAAGAGCATCCAGTGGCTGGAGAAACATGTCATGACTATGCAGACTACTACTTTACTCAGAGAGATCAGGTGAAGAGATGATTTAGAAACATGTTTAATTTAGTGATGATAAACACTGTAGGCATAATGTCTCAGCACTGAACTCCCTCACTTCCCTCATGTCAGCTATTACTAGGTTTTAAAGTTGATCTGAAATTGCCCACTGTTTTATTTGATTAAAAAAATATCCCATATTTGCAAGTATGTTGGCTGTTTTCCAAGGTATTCAATTGTTTGTTGTATGTTAATTGACTGTTATATATGTATTTAATTGTTTGTAGCATTGACCTGATGAAATTACTGGTGTCCTCCCCAAATCTCTATGTGATGCAGGTAGAGATGGATGTATATACCATGCTGAAAAAGGTAAGGTATTTGAGCAAGTCCATTCAGGAACAAGAAGTCAGAATTTGTATTGCAGTCTGTATTTTAAACAAGTTTGGTTATGTGGAATACACATAAGTTCTGCCAGTGTGCTGACAGACAGTGATTATATGTATAAGCACAATTTTTTACCTGATATTCATAAAATAAAGAAAGTTAATTTGGGGGGAAAATCAAACATTGCCTAGTTGGGCTGTTGCAACCTATTCTAATGTTTCACTGATAGAAAACCACAACGGATTATTTGTTAGGACGCCTTTTATTAACCTTTTGTACATCATACCAAAATTCAGAATGAGACTAAAGAAAATTAGATAAACAAATCGATTCTCATTGTCCTTTAATGTTTAGTTTATTGGGTATCATCCTCACAAAAAGAACTGCCAGGTTTCCAGGGGATCCTCCTCTTAGTCTTGCCATCTGGGTAATAATTACACTTGAGACCTGGAGCACAGCCACAGGTAGCAAAGCCCAGATTGTGACAGGAGGCATTTTTCTGGATGTAGGCCACACATCTGCCCTCTATATGAACAAATAGATAACAAAATCTGTGAAAGACTATTTGTGATATCTTGCCTTCAAGCCAACACCAATGCAATCTCCTTCATTGGTGGAGGAAGTGAGATTTGATATGTACAAAATTAGATAGTGAAATTTTTTTCTTTACAAAAAAACTAGAAAGCTACCTAGACTGGACTAAATTGTTCTTAATTTGTGTGCATTTATTTAAATACATATCTATTTAGTTAGATATTTAGTTAGTTAGATAGGGACACAGGTCTAGTGCATTAAGTTTTTTTGCAGTATAAACAGCAGTTAAACGGTTTGGTGTTAAAGTTGTTAAGAACATCTCACCTCTGGTAGGGCGAAAAGGCAAGTCTGCCAGACCCCTCTTGCTCAGTAAGAGGAAGTTCATTTCAGGGACACAGCATTCGTCTTCATTACAGTCTGCTTTGGTCTTGCAGTCACGGATGGTATCTGCTCCCTAGATACAAATATCTATGTATATTTTGAAGTTACTTTAATCCTCCAATTTTAACTTGATTAGGAAATTGTAGCCTAAGTTTAAGACCAAGTGTGGTGCATCTTCTTCACATCTGTATGCAAAAGTTATATTAGCATGGAATAAGCACTGAAACTCATGGTTAGATAATTTTTTTAAATGTTTCTTGAACTCTCAGGCATTCCAAGAGCAAAGACCTGTGCCAAAGAAAAAGACGATAAATAATTCTTTTTTAAAAACATTCCTTAACCTAGATTCAAGTGAACTTGTCAACTTCTTTCCTATCCCAATCACTGTCTAACCTGAAAATTTCATCAAAATTTGTGAGAGATCCTTTTCGAGATATCTTGTCCACTAACAAACAACAAACAGACAAAAAAAAAACAAGACCAATGAAAACAACCCCCTTCCATGGCGTGGATAATATAGCAGTGCTAGCTGTGAAATAAATACTTACCAAGGCAACTGCTAATACAGCAGAGAAAATTATCAGTGTCTTCATATTGTCCTCTGTGCTGCTACTGTATGAGCTTGAAACTTTAAATCAGATTTACTAAGGGTGTAAGTCATGAGTTGGTGATGTGAAATGAACAGATGGAAATGAGACACACCTATTTATAGGACTCATTTCAGACACAAAATATGGGCCTGTAGCCAGCAATTTCAAAAAGGGATTCTTTTTCTGGAAAAGTGGACCTTTTACCATGAAACCTTCACGTACCTAGATAAAATTTTACCCAGAGTGGACCTTTTCTGGCAAACCCCCCTGGCTACAGGCCTGAAATGTGCAATTTTTCTAGGAACCATGCCCATTTTACATCACTGATTCAATGAAATAAAATGTTCTTCACTCGTTGTGTATACGTTACTAAAACCCAACACTATTTATATACCCTGTAAGTAAAAAAAAGTTAACTTTTCTTTTCTGCACTCAAAATTCTTAGAGTCACACTGTCACAATTGTTTAAAAAGCCCTTTATTTGTCAACATAGCTAAGAAACATGAACTAAGAATTTGCATTAAATACATGTTTTAAGGGATCTCTGTTTGTTTTTAGTGGATGTTTCTCCTGTGTACACCAACATGGAGTGGTAGTTCCAAGCAGGTTGCTGAAGAAGCAGACAGCTATTTCAGAAGTACAGGTAAACCAACAATTTGCGTCTTCAGTGGATTCTGATTACTGTTCAAGTAATGAAAGGAAATATCTTTATATGTTTTCCCTATATTTGATTTTTTTTTTTCAGATTCATTTTGCTTTTATACAGTTTTGAAATAATCATTTTCTTTGCACAATTTATATTTAAAAATACAAAACAAATCATAGGTAATCAAACAAACTGCAGTTTGCCTAAAATTGAAGACACAATTGCCTGTTTCAGAGCCACCCACAGTCTATTTCTTGGAGACGGAGAAAGGCCAGCAGTACGTTGAAGCCTTCCAATGCCTGAGGTTCCAGCATCTAGTGAATGACATCACGTCAACCCAGGTGTTAGAAAGGGACAGGATTGTCCCTGAGTCCTGGCTCTACCCTTGGTACAAGTGTCAGTGGCACCACATGCTGAAGATGGAACAGGGTCTGGACCTGGGGCCTAAGGACATTGGGGATGAGATCTTCTACCAGACAGCTGTCAGATATGGAAGGGTGCTGAAAACTGAGAAGGAGGTACTATTCCAACTCTCAGTTTGAAGGCGAAAATTATGGGTTATTTAATGCAGTTAATCCAAGAGTATGTCTGTGGATTCAGTATGTTTATTTATATGAATTTGAACCAGAATTATAAAGAAACAACATCTGAAAGTTCCAAGAACTAAACATACAACATATGCCAATTATGCCAATACATATGTAGAATTTGTGGGCCCCTATATGCAGGTTAGTAGATTAAGTGTTTAACTTTATGTTAAGAGTAACTTCATGACACTTGCTAATCCCTAGTACAAGAAGTATACATGCAGACATCAAGCTGCATATTGTGTGAAAACTAGGAAAATTTTGCTTATCAAATAATGAGGGTGTGTCTTTTATATTTCAGTATTGCTGGAGGTGGACTGGCTATCATTTTGGAGTGGATCTGCTAGTCACTTTTACCAATGGGTAAGTTTAGCAATAGGTCAGAATATGGCAAGTCTGAGAATTAATCACCAAAAGGCTATGAGCTGCCATATGTTTGATACATTAACTGTAGGGAGAGTGTTTCATGCCTTTTAAACATGATAAAAAGTTTTTCAGTGACCTCTGGATTAGTGGTGTTTGACTAGAAATTTTAAGATTTTCAGTGATAAATTGTTTGGCAAATTACTATTATCATGTTAAAACAACTGGTCCATATATGTCTTGACTTTTTCCAGCCTGCTGATATTGAAGAGGAACACCTACAGTCAAGAATGCCAAAGTTCTATAAGTTTACAGGCAAAGAGATATTTAGCATTTCGGTCAGTATTCAGATGAGCATTTTGGTATTGAATTTAAACAGGTTAAAAAGGTTAACTTTTAAAAAGTTCTAAATGAGTTGGTGAGTAGATGAAGAATGTTGCAAATGGGCTAGGTCTATAAGTGAACTGTGTGTGTGCACGTGCATGCGCACGCGTGTGTGTGTGTGCACTGTATGCTATTGGAATTCGTTTTGTTAGATATGAACGATCTACATTTAATTTTATGTTAAAATATCTTCTTATTTCAGAGTGACTGTGTCGTCATTTGATACTCTAGGACATACAGAGTATGTTAAGTCCAGTGGTATTAAATATCTCAGTCTTGGAAAAGATGAGGTGAGCACAGACCTGTGGGGTTTAGATCATGTTCTACACTCTACACAGGTCTGGATAATTTATTAGTTTTTATGTTGTCACATTTTGCAAAGGGTGAATGGCTTATATTTTAGTTATCAGTGGGTTGGTTTTCGGTTAGCATCTTGCTTCATTAGCTATAGAGTATTATTAACAGGTCTGGCTTATATTAGTGTTGCTTATGTTTGTTTAGTGATAAATTGGATTATGTCAAGTCTATCTTACAGTGATTTAGTTAAAAAAAAGGATTGTCAGTGGATTCAGGGTAGATAGAAAGAGAACAATATAAGGCTAAAACATCTTCACATATCATGGTGATTTACTTTTTTTACTGTGTATTACAGGAGACAGTTGTGTTAGTCTTGGACCGCCATGTCACATTTCCATTGTGCATCAGTCTGAACATTTTATATTTTACTCCTAACATGGACATGATCCGTAAAGCTCAGGCAGCCATGAACTTTGATGCAGCTTCTCTGGTGAGAAGCACAGACTCTGTAGAGACAGCCAGCCAGACTGGCTCCACAAGCAGTTCTAACAGCTCAATACACAGGGATATGGAAGAGGAAGAGGAAATACAGGGGACTGCTGATAATGCACAGGGAACGGGGTTGGCTCCAAATGGACAACAAAGTGCTCCTAACACAGGTGTCTGAAGTGGCGAATCTTTTTCCATATTCCATATCTCTTCAAGTCACTCTTCACATAGGTGCAATCTTCACTGACGTTATCTTTGTACCTTTAATTAAACTTTTGAGGACAGTTAACATAGAACATTTGACATTCACAGGAGATTGGTGTATGTGATCATTTCTGTTAAGACTTAATGGAGACAGTTCAGTGTTTGTTTGATGTGACCGTGGACTCATGTCTGATCAGTTGAAGGTGAATTTTTTTTTTTAAAAACATATTTATTTCAAGTTGACCATAAACTATATTTTTGCATTAAATAAATATTCCACTCACTGTATAAGTGTTTATTTCATTTTGTGTAAATGAGAATGTTTGTGAGAAAGCACTCATCCAATCACAATTACAATTAAATTAAATATCCTTTTCCATTTATAAACCAGGCATGTAGAAGTCGATATACAAAAGAATATCGAGAAGTTTTGTTTAAATGGACTGGAATGTTAAAGTATGTTTTCATTACTATAAAACATTAATATGAAAATGATGTAAAACATTAATATGAAAATGATGTCCTTCATTGTGTCAAGAAAAAGTAAAACTTGTTTTCTTTAACTATACTGGACAAAATTTTTTAAAAATGCATTTTCATGTTTCACAAAAATAATTTTATAATGGAAATAATGCATTTTTTTACACAGAGTTATATACATGAATCAGACAATGTTAATCCCTGACTCTCTATATCAATTACTTATACATGTACTTAGCAAAAGCAACTTTGAGACAAATGTTTCTATTTTGTTCAGTATATATGATAAAAGTCATTATGTACACATGGTATTCTACTATTTCCCCTTTCAGGACGGAATAACAATATTCAAGATTTCCATATAAAATACACTTAGATATTTAATTTGCCTTGCATAAATTCCTAGTAAACCACTTTAAATAATTCCAAAACCTTAAATAAATAATTGAACATATTCTATTATAATATACTTTCCAAAGCTAACATTAACATCAGGGGACCTGCCCTTACAGAAATACAATACTTCTTGTAAAGATTTTCTTAACAGAAAATAAGTAAAAAGTAGAAATAAACATTAATCAGAAAGATGTTAATATTTTAATGGAATGTTTAAAAAATCACACCTGGTGTATTGGTTTATGCACTCTTCATAAGCAGACAAAATACACATGTATGTACAGTGCTTTTCTTTTCAGTTGTGTGACAAGTATGAGCAGACAAATGGCAAACTATCACAGTGTTGCTTTGAAGCTAAAAGTAAAAATGTTCAGATTCATCACATCAACTACACCATGATCCTTACATTGATTATGCACAGCTTTGCTCTATCCATTTTCAAAATTTATTAAACACCCCTGCACATAACCACAAAAATTAAAATATTATAACTGAAATAAATAAAAGCATAATCCAGCACAGAAAGCTCCAACACCTGCATTGTCCACAGACAATAAGGTACAAAAAAATCATCTATCGATAAAGTAATAACCTAAAAATCTGAATCTAGTGGCACTCCTGGAGGTGACTGTACTTTCCTTAAGCGGACTTCGGTAGCGCTTACTACTGACTTATTAGTCTCTTTTGTCACAGTCACTTTTTGCTCAGCTGCTTTTCCATCCTCATCACCATCTTTGATTTGTTGCAGCAGGAACTGCTTGTCTCTACCCTCCTGTGAAAAAAGGGAATAAGGAATTTTAAGAGTAATCTAGTCATAAACAACCTGTTGTGATATAAATTAGAAATTAAAACGACAGAGCAGTCTAGTTTCCAATTCAAAATATAACTTAAAGAAAAAGCAAACTTTGGTACTATACACTCACCAAAGCAAGTTGTTCTTTCATCAGTTTTACCATCTCTTTTCTGGCTGAGGCCAAAGCATGGTAGTAGTAAATCACAATCCTAAAATGGCAAACAAAAGGTGCTATTTATGCATACACATTATGTTAAAATTTTTGTAGCTTAAGCATTTGTGCTTTTAAAAGAGAACACTCCAAAGTATCATTTACTGACAGAGTAGAGATAATGTTTAACTTAATACTACAACACAGCACTGCAACAGGTACTTGAAGTAGTACATGTACATAAGTGTGGAAAATAAATTAAATTAGCATGCCTATGCTTAGTGTTAAGACATCTTGAAAATTGCCTGTTGTATATAAAAACTAGCTTAAAACTTTAAGACTTGAGTATACAACACTGCTTTGCCAGGTAATAGAACATTTGATTCTGAACATTTTACTTATTGATGCTGAGGGCTGATTTGCACACTCACAATAAAATGATAAAGGCAGGGATTGTAAATCCAGCTGAAGAGATGAATTTTAGGCCTTCTTGCAACCACGTTGGCCATGTGGAAATAGCCAGAGGGATCACATCGATCATGTAGCTGTAGATGCGGAAAGGTCCACATCCTTTGGAGGGAGTTAGCCTGCAATAAATACCACAGTTTTAAAAAATGAGAATTGGGAATGAAAAAAAAAGTCAACTTGTTTTAAAGATTACAGAAAAATTACTTTTGAGGTTTTTTACAACATGTATCACAGACAGATTTTATTCTTACTACAGTGACATATTTCAGAACTACTTTTGAATACAAATATGCGGAAGTTTACTATGGAATTGTGATTATTTTTTGCTCCCTTTTCTAGTCCTAATTGTATCTTTAAATACACATCCCATTTAAAAATAGTTGTTAAATCTACCTAAATATGTTTTTTTAAAACAATTTTTTAGATAAAAAGATGAGCAGATCAATAAATTGAAATGAAAAAAGATGACAACGCATCCCTAAAATACTGTGGACATATTTACTATCATGGAGACTACATATTCATTTTCAAAATATAAATATTAAAAGTTTGGCAACAACCTTTTTCACACTTGAATCATATTTTAAAGTTATGTAATTTTATACTTGAAAAGAATGTTGAGAACTGAACAAGAGATCTTACTTAGTAATACACCAGCCCACAGGTAAACAGATGAGTCCAAATGCAATCATCAGGATGACCATAAAGAATGAATTGGACTTGGAAGCTCTGTATGGACGGTCAGGCGGTTCCATGTTAACCAACAGGGACGCCTGAAATGTTCACAATATTATTCACTTAATGCAGTCTGGCATTTACCANACTAATATCTTTTTATAAGCATTTGTGGTGCTTTTGCTGCATGGAATAGAACTAAAGAGTAGCCTTCTTATAAAATTTGTTGCTTCCAATTAACAAAAAAGTTCAAATTTCAAGAAATTATGATTTTAAAAATACAGTATCTGTAAAATTCACAATTTTACTTACTGATGCATTAGCATGAGGAGACTGAGTCCAAGGTAGGCTCCGACCACACACAGGTAAGCCAGGGGCATGTTGTATGAGTATGATACTGCATCAAAACTCCCTATATACAGTGAAGTTGTAGTGTAATTCCCCATAAACAGTACAGTCTTCTCCATCCAGCCCTTTGAAGAAAATACAATTGATTAAATCAATTAATCAACCAGTCAGTCAATAAACTAAACCCAATTTGATGACATTGAAATTTTGCCTGTAGAATTTTTATTACTATAGATTTTCAAATAATTCCTTTATTTATTTAAAGGTTTGCTTGTTCAAATAAGTGTCTATGGCAACACTTTATCAATGAATATGGGCTAATGGCCTATAAAATTAATGTGATTAAAATTGTGGAAAAAAAAGCAACTTTGTGAAGTAAATGTACAACTTACTGTTCCTTGCAGGAAGTCAAGAATGAGATATCTCCAATCTGTGGTAATATTCACAGTATATTGATCTGAGCAGTTATTAGCGAGCGCTATAGCTGTGTCTAGGTTGGAACTATTCCCAGTGAAATATGCACTTTGGGTGTTGAAAATAACCTGTGGCAAAGTGACAAAGGTGAAAACTATCACAGCCAGGTAAATATTGAGGAAAAATAGCCACTTCAGGAACGTGAAAAAGGACAAAATACCAGATCCAAAATGCCCTGGAAAACAGAAAAAATAAAGAATTAATTTAGGTTTAATAAAAAAAAGATGGAACATATTCTGTGCAGTTTAAAAATAATGTTGATTGAATGATTAAAAATTCTTTAAATAGCTGACTGATTGGAGCATTTTAACTCTTTTAAGATTTTATTTACAGCTGGTCTACATAAGAATATTTTTCTTGTTTTGTAATAATCACAATTTCACACAAATGTCAGGATGAATGTTTAGACCATTTTATTTTTTCATAACAACATTACCTTCTATCTTCTTGAAAGAACTGCCCCATACTTCAAAATAACCAAAAAACTCCCTTGCAGAAATCTTGAATTTGTTGTAGGCCTGAAATGTTCAAGTTAGAAGGATGTAATGCTATTTTTGTTTTCATTTCTGTCAATTAAGCATGTGGATGAAAGTTCAGAACAGATTTTTTGTACAAATAATATCATTCATAATATTGTATACTTAAATTACTGGTTATACATGTAGATGGCTAAATGGCAAATATCTACTAAAAATGTTTGATAACAAAATATCGAATAAAATATTATATGTGGGCAAAAATGCAATTTGAAAGCAAGATAAATTTTAATCATTTGGACAGATTGTAAAAGATTTTTTTTTTTTTTTTTTTTTTGTAAATATAACAAGACTGATTTCATTCTATTTAGACTATATATAAATGAATTCGTTGTTGATCATGGCCTTACCAACTTCCTTCGGTACTTCCAACCAGCCCAGCCTGTGACAGTGGACACCTTGTTGGCCATTAGTCTGTCCCTGAAGATAAACCATTATAAATTGAATTACTTAATACCATTTATAACTGAATTACTTAATAAAATGCATCACTGTCACAAATACTTCTCTGTCTATGGACAAACAAATACCCCAAATTTCTAAGTCAAACACATTTCACATCAGAAACACAGCTGCATTGAGAAACCATCTAAGGGCACATTCCCATAGATTTTAGATCCATTTATTCCCGTGTGGAGTCTCACTAGATTATTGTCAGATAATCCGGCTTAAATGTCCGTCCTGCCTACTACAAACTGTAAGGGGGTAATTAACTTTCATGCCCGCTTGGCTGACAGCTATTTAGCGTGAACCCCCAGGTAGTTAGGTCGATCTAGTTAGATCGATCTAATCTCTAGGAATGGGGTCCAAGTGACACGTTCCTCTGCGGCTACTTTTCTAAGCACCCTTATCCCACCATAACTGCAGTTCTCTCATTTATGGATGTCCACACGAAAAAAAAAAAACTAAATAAATAAGCATTATTACTATTATTATTATTATTATTAACCACCCAATGAAGTTGTTTAAGTTACAATAAACTTAAGAATAAGTTATTTGTTCTCCAATATTTCGGCCTTTCACATGGCACCTTTTTCAGCAAACATGATTGCAGGTGTTTATGTTATTAAATGAAATTAATTCTTATTTTTTACTTCATGGCCTGCAGAGATGATAATAAACACTAAATTTTTTAAGATATTTTTTTTACACTTTTTTAAATACAAAATGGCATATCTGTTATTTGGGGCAGGGTTTCATAACTCAGAGGGTTTTGTTTAATCTAGATGAGAAGGTATATAATATTCAACATTAAAAAGTGAGAGTGGTCATTTTCTGACAGTAATAGGCAAATTCTATTTAAGTCATTTGTTTAAATTGCTATAATAGATAAGCTGTCTAATTAATTTAGCATTTCTGTTTTGTATGTGTACCAGAAATATTGCACCTAATTCAGTTCTTATGTACTAACAACACAAGCCCTGGGTATTGCACAGTTGAATAAATCATCACAAACCAGAGGAAAACTATTTCAAACTTATATAATCAATATCACTTAGTTATTGATTTCCTTCTGCATGCTTTGCCCAGGTGCATGATGACAGTCCAAACTTACTGACCTTTTGTTGAAGTTTCCATACTTTTTTAGTTTCTTAGATTTGCCATTAAAATGACCGTTTTCATTTTTTAAAACTTACTACATTCATTTTCAATGCCCTATCCTGTTTTATGTCTAAATACGTTTGAAAATTTTCTTAGAAGTGCTTTTGATTATCTTAGTTTCATTACAAATAACTTGCAACTACCAATGAAAGTATTGGATAGTTTGATAAGAAATTAAGCCACCTTTTCCTGGTCTGAATATTTTGCCTTCGTTCATTACGTCCACGTTTTGGTTTAAACAATGACGATGCTTGAGGGTCTGGTATTTCTTTCTTCTTACGCCTTCGCTCATAATGCCATGTGCTCCGTTTAGAAACCGATCCATTAATGCTGCACTCCTCCAACACCAAGTCATCCTTATGTCCTTGTGGTGCTGGGAAGACTTTATTCTTTGACTTTGTTTCCATCGTTGCAGAAAAATCAGCTACATGCTGGTACATACACTGCCCAGTTCTCTGTCCGTTCCAAAGTGCATTGTGCTAACGAAGAGCAATCTTACTTAGCGACAAATTATATGGATTCTTACTGGATTATACAACCCATAGAATCAATATTGGTGCAGCTTATTTGTGGAATTGTATTGGTTTTCTGTATCATTCCAAAACACCAACTAAACAAAGGTTGTTTATATATATATATATACTCCTGAGCAATAGTCAAATCAATGAATATGGTTTTGCATTGTAAATAAAAATGCCACAGAATACTGAAAAAATGCTGATCACACGTGAATGTGTTGCTTGCTGATCCAAATCTAGTATACTTGATGTCAATGGTTGATTTCAATCCATCTACCCCACACTGTTACTTTTCCAGTGCCTGTGAATGTATTGTGTAGCTGTTTGTAGTTATAAAGATCCTCTCTCATCTTCCATGTAAAAGTATGCAGACATCTTTCTTCCAGTATGTACGCATATGTTTTTTCTACACCTGTATCTCTCGCAGACATGTCAAACATGAATAAATGTTTCAGCTGCCAACAAATCAGTTAAAGTCTTATCATTCTGCTTCTTTTATCTGTAGATATGTCTGACACACTTTACGTCGCTAGAGACTACAACACGCATAATTGTCCTTTACTTTATCACAGTTCAAACACAGTTGCCAATAAAATTCAAAACTTCTTTCTGATAAAAGAAATTGATTGGTGTTTTTGTATGCTCTTTCGAAAGTCTATTACTACATATCACCTTTCCATTAGTGGTACCAGCAATCAATTCACTGACTTATCTTTCAAACTGACAACAACTACCATAACCACATCTGAATTGTTAGTTAGTCAAGTATGTCCTGCTTTCTTCAACTGACTTGTCTTTCCATTTGATGGCAACTACAATATCTGCATCTTGTTTTAATTATAGCCAAGTGAAGTTCCATTTCATCCTAGAGCTTGATAAGGACACTTTTTTTCCACCCACATCTTTAATCTATTTTGTTGACTGCATGCTTGTCTACCTGAATGTTAATACTGAACCCATCTTATACACAGGTAGTTACTTTATTGACATCCAGCCATGATAATGATCCCGTTATGTGGGCTGGTCCTCTGTATCCATACAACCTTAGTGGGTGAAAATGGTATCAGGTTCCTAGTAACTGGACAGGGAATTGGCCCTAACTGTGTGCCATTGATCATTATTAACACATGAAGTATGACATCAAATGTCAAAGCTAGAGTAGTGCGAATGAAATTCCCATAGCACAAGCTACATCAAATATTACTTCCAATTCTTTTCAAGTTGACTTTTGAAGTGAGGTTTGCTAAATTCACATCTCTTTATTTAATTAAGGGTTACTTTATCAATTAGATAGAAAATAACAGGGGATGTAACACATTGATCCTCTTAGGTGAAGATTTCAATTGTATCTTCAGTGACAATGTCTAACATTGCCTCAAGTTAATAGCAATCCACAAAAATAGACTTTTCAAATAGACTTTTCAGACTTAACAGGATTTTTCATTCTTTTTGAAAACAATGATCAAGAGGTGAAAAAAATAGCAACTTTGAATATCAAATTAATCTTGACTGAAATAAACCTACTGTACTTTATCTATAATCATTTTTTTATTGTAAAAGATTATTGACTGCATACGGGTAAAAATAAAGCTGCTTTTAAAAAAGGAAAGATCAGGAAACGCTGTATGGAACAAATATAGACAAAATATACAATGAAATATGTGTTAGAAAAAAAATAGGCCAAGGATAGGTGAACAAACTATAAATTTTTTTCTGGACTAAAACAACAAGTAAAATTTTGTGAAAAAATTATGTACAGGAATGTATACTCCAGACTTGAAAAAGACCACCAGAAATCGGGTTAAATTTTATTTTGCATTTTTAATTTACTAACTTTTTCTGTTGCAAACAATACTTTTTGGAAATAAGTTAATTGTGCATACTGGTTGTTTACTAAAAATAATTTTACCATATATATATATATATATATATATATATATATATATATATAAGTTGTCGAGTTTTGGGTTAGTAAAATTTCAGCAGACTGCCAGTTCCTCTATAGACCTATAGTACAGGTGTTACAACACAGGTCAAAATGCAGGGAAGAATAAAAGGCTTTCTAACAATGCAGTGTAATGCAACCACAGAGTCAACATAAGATTTTTTTATCTTGACATTTTTTGGAGAACAATAAAAACATTGAGTTTCCGGTTACGCCAACCCTAAATGATGTCATCAGCCAGGATTCATAATGCTTTTTAACACCTTTCTTTATAAAAAATGTTTTTCCTCCCCAAGCTATGTTTAGACCCAATGTTTGTTTGCAGGGGGTTTTAAAGCGATTTTTTTTACAGGTATAGGGTTGTATTGTGTACACGTCTATATAATCTAATATCCTTTGCCCCACTTACGGCTCATACTAAAGGCCAGGTATAACGTCTACCATTTCAGCCTTCTCTGCATGTCTTTATGTGACTACAATATACAGCTTAACAAAGCACCTAGCAACGGGTACACAATATTTTGCCAAGTGTTCAAGTACTTATAAGTTTGTGTATTGACCGCATTAAGACTTCACATTGGTATTGAACTTAGTTTTCAAGTATATTGTGCTATATGTTCTATCTAGTGGCTTTGTAGCTAATAGTAAAGCTGTTGTATTTCGCAAGGAACGCGAACGTGAACTTGAAATGCATATTAAAATTGCAGGTGTATTACAAGACTGCTGGAAAGTCTTACTTCAGTTTCTTAATCTCACCATATTTATGCTGAATTATTATGACAAATCAAAGCATATAAAAATTTTAAAATCACAAAAATTCATTTCAGAAGAAAAGGCAAACAGGCATTACTCAAATATGTGGATATGATATTTTAAAAAATAGATGGGGATCGGGGAGCAACAGGGATGGGTTTTGTAGATATATGAATTCATTTCTTGAACTTTTTACACAGAGGTCCTTGCATAACACAGCTATATACCCACACATTTGTGCTCCTTGAAATATCCTCAATTAAACAGTTTATCAAAGATTTGTTAACCACACCAAGAAGGCTGTAACAGTTATGTACTTACATTTTCTTTTTTATCAAACTTTTTTGCTGTTGTTTAAGTGGTGCACTTTTAGATTGCATGAATATTGAATCTTGTAGATGTATTGATTGTTTCTTGTAAAATGAGTGAAGTAAGGTGTAAAAATATGCCAGAGTTTTAATGGAAAACATTTTTCAATGGGCTGATAGAAATTCAAGTTGTCTATACATCAAAATAAACCACCTTGTACTGGTAGTTAACTTGCATATACAAATTATAATATGTAAACTTCCAAGAAAATTTTCAAATGAAGTAGCATGTTGTTATAATTGATCTAATTGATTCCCTTACTGAAATGAGGATAATGTAAACAATCATAACTTTTTTTAAATTATTTCATGCATCTATATGCTCTATTATTTATTATGCATTTTTTTCTGACATTGTCTTTTTCATGTAGCTTATGCTAACAATTCAAAGTCTTATTGTACTACTATTACAGCAATTACTCCAGGTTTAAAAAATGACTTTTATTGGGTGTGAAGGGTAAGTTGGTATTGAGGCATAAATTGTTCGAAAAATATGTCTTAATAGAGTACTTTTACCAGAGTCTACGTACATGTAAATTAGTGGTTGAATGGGTAACTAATGGGAAATTGTAAAAATGTTGGCCTTTTTACTACAAAATTTTGCCTTCTGTACAAAAAATCTAGATCAGATTATTTCAGAGAAGAACTTTTCCCAGAAAAAAGGCCTATCCCCACTCCCCTATTCCTGCCTATAGGCTTGTGTCTATTTTTTTTCTGTCTCTAATCCCATGAACTGTCTGTTAAAACACATCATGATTACTGCATAAATGAATACACATACTACGAAATACTACATAAATAAAGAAAAACATGAAGTCCTACCTTATAACTTTCTTCATGGCAATTGATGTAGGCATATCTCTAATATGCTTCTTCTGATGGTATTGTTCTTTCTCATCCATGGCTGCATCCCCACCATGATAGTCCCCCAATTCAATATCCACCAGATGATTCTTGCTGCTAAATTTGTCCACATTCCTTCCCAGGTGGCGGGGGTCAATCTTGTTCTTTTTCATAGGGTATGGGTGTGATTTGGCTTGGTCTCTTCGTAACATTTTTCTTGTCATAGAGGTACCCAGATCAGAGATAAAAGCCTTACGACTGGGAAGCTGTGCTAAAATGGCATATGCTCCAATTCGCAACTTTTTGGTATCTGCTTCTGTTAGGTAGAGGTCATCTTTTTCCTCTGAAAAAAAAAAAAAGAAAATTGATTTATCACAACTAGTATCATGTCTGAGTATTTAATGTCTAAGCATTTACCATATCAGGATCATAAACCTGTTTATAAAAGGATACTTTCTACACTTGCTTCTCTGCTGACACAAAGTGAAATGTTAGGTTTACTGTCATTGCCAGCTATAGCTCTGGTTTTGTTATCTGTAGTGTAGAACTTTTAATGACAAACATTAGTGAAATTTTATTTAAAATGGCCCATATCTATGCCTCATAGTATCACAGTACCAAATTCATTTTGAGTACTAG